GGCTAAGAAATTTGCTTGCATTATACAGCCAGAAAAACGTGGACTCTCTATTCAAGTATGGTTTAATTCCAGAATCTATTCACCTACTATCTTATTTTACTTTCAGAACTGAAAACAATATGTTCAGCATAATTTTCATGTTAGATATTTTGTGTTTTATGTGAACACAAGTAATTCTCTAAAATTTGAAGTATATGTGTTACACTGATTTCCTTTTTTTTTCTTCTTTTTAAAAAATGTATTTCGAGGGCTGGGGAGACGGCTCAGTACAATAAGCACTTCCCTGGCAAGCGCAAGGGTCTGAGTTCAATCCCCGGTTCCACACAAAAAAAACAACTATTAAAAAAAAATGTATTTCGTACAGGGTCTTGCTATGCAGCTTAGACTCATAGTGATCCTCCTGTTCTCAGTCTCCCCAGCGCTGGGATTATAGGTGTGGGCTACCATGCCCAGTCTCAGTGGCCAGCTCAGCTTGGGGGGGGGCGGGCAGACAAGAGGCAAGGAGCATGGCATGTTGTGTTGGGGATCAAACCCCCGTCCCTGAGTTTGCCTAAGCAGGCACTTTGTCCACTGAGTTATCTAACCAATCCTGATTTCTGATGTTTATCTAAACATTTATTGTGCAATCAACCAAAATGAAGTGACTAATCTCAGCAAAAAACAAAGCAAAACAAAACACCCCAAGTATTACAGACAGCTAAGTTAGGGAGAGCTATTCTAGACAGCCAGGCAAGGCAAGGCCCTTGAGGGATTCAGTGCAGAGGATGAGAACACATCAAGCTGAGGCTGTCAAAGGCCAGGCCTCAGGATAAAAGTGGAATAGCCAGGCCTACAAGCCTCCCCAGGGGATAAGAAACAAATGGAAGGTTATACTATAACTGGTATCACCTGGCCCAAGAGAGGCTGGCTAGCCATCAGTCACCCAAGTGTGTGACCAGGACCTCCGACCCATCCTTCCCAGGAGAAGTCTATGTTCTTCCCATGTACACATGCTCCATGACTTGCTTCCTCTTGGGTCAAAATTACCTAAGCAGTTGTACTTTTAATCTTATTGGTGCTTATAGTTTGGACCCAGGGTGTACCCAGTGTGTGGTTTTGCTCTATAAGACTTCTTGTGAGAAGTAGGCTTGTTGGCAACTCACTTTTGGATCACTTTCTGTCTCTCAGGGGTTAGCTGTCTCAATAAACCTTTCCTACTCTTAAACTCAACTGTTCCCTAAAATTCATTCTTTTATCTTTTAGGAACATGAACTGGGCTTATCTGACATCTATCGGGTGGGAGTTATATTATTTTCCCTACATCAAAACTACAAAAAAAGAAAGAAAATCCAAGTATGTGTGTATGACTATAAAATGACAGACATTTTGCCATCTCAAAATCTCAAAAAGGTTCTTGTGAAAGGTTAATTGAGGAGTTCATAATTATTTTTAAAAGAGGTAATATTTATAATTGCTTGAATTCTAATACAGGACAAGCTCTTGCTTTTATTTCAATGATAAAGAGATTTTTAATTCATAGTGAAATTTTTTAGAGCTCAGATGGATGTTGTAGTTATCTGAATATTCCTATCTGGTTTTCAACTACTGAAGGATCAGCGCTAAGCATTCCGAAGTATCATAGTATATCAGTGAGGTAAGATTTTAAGGTGAAAAAGAAGAGACAACAGATGTAAAAAAAAAAAAAAAACCAAAAAAAAACAAAAACAGCAGTTTCAAGACATAAGATGACTGTGAACTGCAGAATCACTGCCAAAGACTAAGAAAAACCCATCACTGGTTTTTAGCAGGTTTAGGAAAACACGCCCAACAAAAAAACTATGGCAAGAAGTCCAGTACTGCAGGAACGCAGGTGGTGTTATGGGAGCAAATATGGAAGCTGAAAGACCAGTGTGTACCTGAAGTACGGAGGAACTTCGGGAGTTGCTAATGTGTAAGAATCAAAGAGCTAAAAGAAGTTCTTAAGGAAGTAACGTAGCGATTAATACTTTATTAAAAAGAAAACTCTTGTAATTGTGTTGGGCAGTTGAAGACCAAATGGTAAAATGAAAATCACCTTATTACAGATTTCTCAGGAAGAAATGATGAGGGCTTGAAATAAAGCTTAAACCACATGGGTGATATTTGGTGTAAAATTGATATTTGATGAATGTCTATATAGAGATTGGATGTTAGAGAACGACAGAAAAAAGGTGAGAAAATGAAAACTAATAATAAGTGGTTTCTAATTTAGGAGTGTGGGTAGACAATAATTCCTAATAAAAATTGAGGATAAGGAGGTGATTTATAGTTTAAAATAATTATACATACATTCTTTCACTTAAGATGACATTTATGTTAATAATTACCATTATTATTCTGCTGAAAGGTTAATTACATATACACTTACTGTCTCATTACTCTTCTCTTGTTGCTGGGACAAATACCCAACACTCAAAATTAGAAGGAAAGGTTTATTTAGCTCACAGTTACTGGAGGTTTCAGTCCATACTCATCTGGCAGAGTGGCACAGGGCAGAGAGCATTCATTCACCGAGGTGGCAAAGAGCAAGAGAGCACAATGGAGAAGTAGCAGCAACAATGGTTGCAGAGAGCAAGCCTGTCTCTCTGTCTCTCTTATGTTGCATTTAGGCTATCCAACCCAGGCTGGGGATGGCACTCACACCCTTAATCCCAGCAGTACTCAGACCCATAATCCCAGCCTTGGATCATGAATTAATCACAGACTGTAGAACTTCACCTCAAGGACTGCATGAGGCTTTGGGGGGGCAAATACACACAAACTGTAACACTTACACAGAAAATTAGGTTTCCTTATTTTCCAACATAATGCTTTTTCATTGATCTGATATACAACTAAGTACTGTAGCCTGCTTCATAGGTAGCATTTGTGTTATTTGGAGCCTATTTTGTTTTGTATTTACAGCACTGAGGATTGAATCTAGGGCATTTATACTGCGTCACATCCCAAGCCATCTCTTATATTTGTGTTTTGAGACAGGGTCTCACTAAATCATTAAATTGGCCAGGCTGTACTTGAACTTGTAATCCTTCTTCCTCGGCCTCCTAGAATGCTGGGACTGCAGGTATGTACTACCATGCTAGGCTCTATTTTAAAGATGTAGTTTTCCCTCCAGAAACTGTTTTTGTTTTAAATACTTTTGTGAGTGGTTATTAATTATCTTAAATATATTTTATTATCTTTCATTTTGAAATAGAACTTTAGGTTTAGAAACGTATCATGTCACATATGTAGTCCTGCCATGAAACTTAGAACATGTTAAAAATACTAATAGTCAATGTTTGACTCTCATGGTAGTGTTGAGGGTGCACCTCTGACATCTAGGACAAGGCCACTATTTCTCATGAGTTTGTCAGGGTCCCATGAGAAGTGTGCAGAGCTCAGGAAGCTGATGCACATAGTGAGTTGGGCTTCGCTTGAGATAATGCATACAGTTTCCTCTTGTTCCCTGTGAAGCCACAAGGCATGCTGTTCTGCTCCAGGTTAGATATTCTTCCTGTCCCAGATCCTACCTCCCCTAAACTCTCCATGACCTTATGCATATGCTGTTGTATAAATAAATGCACAGCAGGTCCTGGGCAGTTCCTTTCTCCCATCAGGAGAGAGGGCTCCACCTGACCTTAGCTTTTGCATATTGATTCTTGTGTTCTTCATCTTCTACCATCCTCCCTCCTGAGTGTCAAAAGTGCACAGGATGTGGCATGGTAGGATGCCTCAGCATAGTTTTCATGTTAATTATATTTTAATATAATTAATGAAAAACCACTCTCAAGCCAGGCATGGAGAAAGCTGAGGCAAGAGGACTGCCATGAATTCAAAGCCAGCCTGGGCTACCTAGTAAATTCAAGGCCAGCCTGAATTACATAGTGAGACCCTATTTCAATAATTAATTAACTAATTAATTAATAGCACTAAGTCTCCACTTTAACATAAATGGAATCAAGCTAAAGTGAACATTGAAGTATTTTCAAGGCACTTCAAAAATCTATTTGGATTATAAGGTACATTAATAAGAGAGTTACTTTATTTTTCCACATTAACTGAGGCACTGAGGGTGTTTAAAACCAAATAAATTGTGTTGGAATTTGTGGCCAGGATACATAGATAACTCAAGGAAAATATTTGTAGTGTTCTACAATTAGAAATACAGTGGGAGGGAAACATACATGAGGCCCCGCCTACCCGCCAGGGGATGACTAGAGGAGGGAGGAAGTACAGTTTGACGGAAGCATAGTGCAACAGGAAGCAGTGGAAGCTGGGCGGGACCGTGGAATTATCCAGATGGAGAAAGATAAAGGTTTCGGGGCATGCATGGAAGATCAAGGAAATAGACATCTGGTGTAGGCAGCATGGAGCAAATTGTAATATGTGAAACCTGAAGCTGGAAATGTTGAGGAGGGCTTCACTGCAAGTGTGTGGTCTACTACCGCAAAGACTTTGGGGTTGAGGCACCCCAACTTCTAACTTAGTGAACCTGTAACAGGACCCTGCAACACAGCTCCACCTTGGGGTTCACCTCATGAACTCAATGGTTCTTCCATTTGTTCATGTCTTAAATGTAATGACTCCAAAGACACCTTTGTTATAAGGGAGCTAAGTTCTTTCAACAGAAAGACATGTAAAATGATATAAAAAATGTGGCATTGGAGGTGGGCTTTGGAGTGTGGGTCTGATTTGAACATGTCTCATATATCTTATTAGAATGAGCTGAAGATACTTTCTATATTTCTTCCTGTAACTGGTCTGTTTTCAAGGTAGTGATATAGGGGAAAAATGAAATTCCTGACCTGAAAAGTACCTGAGAAGAGCTCATGTTCTTTAAAACGGAAGAATGAATTTTAGGAACAAATGGAGGTTAAGAGTAGAATATATTTATTTGGAGAAAGAAAGCTTCTGTCTGAGAGGAGGTTGTTCCCAGGAAGCTGCCTCTTCCAGGGACTTTTTATAGAGTAAAACCATGCAGTAAGGTGTGCCTAAGGTGGTGAACATGGGACCTTGCTTAGGTGGGCATGAGGTGGGACGAAACTATGATCAACCAATGAGATTATAAATTCCATTGCTCAAGAAAAATTCATTAAACCAGAATCAAATGAAGAAGTAAGTCACATAGCAAGTGGGCACAAAGATGGGACAGGGTCTCTTCCTGTTGGGATTGAGTTAGTGATTCTTTAGGGCTCTTTCAAGGTGATTGATGCCTATTTGGAATATCATTCCCTAATGCCCATCCCTAGGGAATTATGTGGTTGCATTTGTTTACCCTTTTGTCTTGAGGTATAGGCCATACAGGAGTGTCTGTCTCTTTTAATTTTGAAAGTCATCTTACCTTCCATGTTGTCTCTTTGAGGGCCTGGCCCTGTCTGACTGCCTGTAATATTTTTATCTAATTTAGCTGCCTACAACAGTAGAATTTAAAAAATCAAAGAGATAACCCAGGAATAGTAGTTTCAATAGGTATTATTTGAAGTGGCAATGGCCATTAGTGTAAATATCAGAAATGACTACTTGTTGTTGGACAGGGTCTTTCTACTTTGCCCAGACTAGCCTCCGACTCATGATCCTCTGGCCTCAGCCTCTCAAGTACTGGTTGTATAGGTTTTTGTCTGGCTCAGAAGACACCTGTTTTGCTTTTTTTTTTTTTTTCTTTTGGTCTTCATAAATTTTATTTCTACAGGCTAGAGAGAAAACAAACACATACAAAAACTCTATACATTTCTATCTCTAACAGTGGCTTAGAAATAGTTCCCAAATAATTGTTGAACTCAGTTGAAGGCTTTTGGGTTTGATGTGAATCCTAGCCCTTAAACGATGCATAGTTGTTGAATAATGGTGTGACAGAGAGCTGGAAAATAGTGTGTTCTAGAATAAGCTATCAAGAGGAAGAAGACCACCCTACAGCTTAGCCTGGAAACCCCGATGCTGCAGCACTTACCTCAGAGGCAAGAATCTTGCTCCTAACACAGCTGTCCTAACTTAGCTGTAAAGGTGGATCAGAACTTAGTTGTAAAGGTTGGCCAGGGGAACACACTGCATTAGAATGGAATTGGAGACTTCAAGGTGAGCATGTGAGTGGAACTAAAAGGCAGAGGAGCCTAAGACAGAAATGTGACACTGAGAACTAGCAGTGGGACAATCTGAACCACGGCCACATTCTTACAGCATGGGTGGGGTGCTTATGTTGAAAGGCTCTGAATGAGTACAAGTAAACATTTCTGTGAAGAATTGACACAGTAAAATAATACTAAATACCTACACTTGAAATCATAATGTATCTACAAGTATTTACAAGTCAGATGAAGACCTTATTACCTAAAGCAGTTTTCTAGTCATAATATGCCCTGAGGTTCTAAAACTCAAGATTCATGTTGCATATTACTGTTTTTACATTTTTTTTAAGGAAAATAAAACATACAAGTCTTGAAACAATCACCAAGAAGGTTAAGGGTTTTGATTATTGAGCAGTAACTACAAGTTTCTTAGATCGAAACAGTTTCAAAATCATTTCCTTTTTCATGATTATGAAATTTGCAAAAATCAAAATTGACTAAAAGTAATGAAGAAATGATTTTCAAAGCAGAGGAAGGAAGAAGAAATGGCATCTAAGAATTGTTCTGGCCGTTTTGTTTGTTTCAGGGTCTAGCCAGGTAGTCCAGGCTGGCCTCCAACTCGCAGAGATCTTCCTGCCTCAGCCTCCTGGGTGCTGGGATACAGGCTTGCGCCACCACGCCAAGCTCTTTCCGTTTTAAGCAATGAGCAGAGTGAGGCTGAATCAGGAGGACAGCAAGTTGGAGCCCAGCCTGGGCAAATCAGCGACTTACGGAGACTATCTGTACCTCCCAGAGGGCTGGGGGGCACTGTACGAAAGCCCTGGCGGGTCGCGTACCGAGCAGACTACAGTTCATAGGAGTCCACGGGTCTCTCTCCTGCCACGCTCCGGGCAGGGTGCTGACTGACTTTCCGCCGTGCTCAGGAGCCGCGGGCTTGGGTCTAGCAGCACCTGAGCGCCCGTTTTACTGGAAGGCCTTGCGGCACGGAGGAGACCGCTGCCACCGCTCCCAGTCTCCGGAAACGACTCAGCCTGGGCTCTAGGGACCTGAGGCAGAGTGCGGTGCTTCCGGGAGGTGGGGAAGGAGGGGACAGACTCTGGGGCTCACTGGGG